TATACGTATATGTATGTATGTAGAAATGCATATGTACGCAATCTGCTTCTCCTTGAAGCGCTCTCCGTTGACGTGCATAATACACATTCGCGAATTATGCGTGCGAACATACGTGCGACTAATATGGATATGTGTATATGGGTGTATGTTTGTATACATATACACACACACATACATATGTATACTATATGCATGTATATATTCATATATATATGCATACTCACAAAAAATGTACGTACAAGGTGGTCCACTTAACTTGAAAACCTTGAATACCTCACTTGTTTTTGATGATAGGAAAAAATGTTTCAGATAAAAGTGTAACAGTCTCAAGTGGACCACCTTGTATATACAGGATGACTCAAAATATAGCAAGTTCTTGAAAAGTTAAGTAAAAAAATTATTTGTAAATTTTTATTTATGTAGTAATTTTTGAGATAACGATAGTTTAAATATGATCAATTACAAACTACATTTAGATAGATCATCTAAAAATCTATGAGTTGCACGTGTTGTAGTATTAGTGAGTGATACTGAGCTGATGGTGGTTCAGCATGTTCATTGATATTCATTGATTACTATCTACCCGTAGTCTGTACAATTGGCCATATATTTAAATCCTTATCTATCCCAGAAACTATTACTTAAAATTTACAAATAATTTGTCTACTTAATTTTTCAAACGCTATCTTACTATTTTTTTTTTTTACTAACTACTATTTTAAGTCGCGAATTTTGGGACACCCTGTACATAAATTATACACATATAATACATACTGCACTTATATGACGATGCACATATACACGTATAAATAGGTACGAATCTCTATGAATACGAGTGTAAGTATCGTCATGCTCATAGGAGAAGTGGTTCACGAGGAGAACATTGAAAACGGAGCTACACGTGAACGCGGAAGACGATAGCGCGATATATTCATGAAGGTGGAATAATGAATCAAGACGAGGTATGCGCAAATATCCCGCATCCTCGATACTGATGCGGCGTGGCGCGCGCGTTATCTGCTGTACCGGCAAACTGCTACGAATCGATCGATTTACTTTTCAGCATAATACGATGTGCCTATTTCAATCTCTGACATTTCCGAAAAGAAACCGAACTTTAAACATGTTGAAGCGTTAACTTTCCTTTTTTCTTTTTCGGTACTATAGGTCTTTTTCTTTTAATTTCAGTACAATAAGATCATTTGCTTGTTCTCACACAATTTAAGTTGCTATTGATCAATTAACGATAAAAATTTTAAATTTTTTGTAATTGATAAAAATTGTAAATTTTAATTCACTACACTATCGATTCAAGATGGATGTCAGTAAAAATATAGAATTTATAAGTTATCGCAAGCAAAGAATAGCGAAAAGTGGATAGATGATTCTATACTCAGCAGCAGCCCTAGCCATGAATTTGTTTCGACTGTAACGCGAACTTGCAACAGAATGACGAAGGAATGGACAGGGCAAGGAAGGGTTAAGGATCGCGTATCATACTGTTTGATTAATGTACTTCACCCGTACATGTTCGTCTATCTTGGGCGATCCTGCCTACAGTCGGAGTTATTTGTTAGTTATACTAATACAGGACAAAATAACGTATACATAGTAGTAACAAAATGTTAGTTATGGAGAAGCGATATAGCATACGCGAGAATTTATGATAGCGATCGAGATAAAAAAAATTACTAGATTTATGATATTTTTCTGCATAAATATGCACAACTTAAATTGCACAACTTTTTGTTCAAAAAATCGATATATGGATATATGGAATTATCGAAATATGGATATATTATCCAAATGCTGAAATTAGATGTTTTTAAATATGCAACCGATAAATGGAATAATAATAATGAAAAACATCTAAATGATACGTAGATACAGGCAGACTTTGAATCGTACATTAAAAAACATCCTATCAGTGTGGATTTAATACTATAAAGTGTTTATATAATTCTTACCGTGTTAACATTAATACCAACAGGGTGTGGATTTAAAATCATACAGTGTTAATATTATTATCAACACAGTGAGAAATATATGTATAGATACCGCATGGTGTAAAATTCACACCAACATTTTTATAAGTGTACGACAAAAAACAGATTCTAATTTTTAAGATTTAAAGAGATTTTTTTTCTTAAGATGAATTTTTATCATATTAAATGGTACAAAATTCTGATCAATCTTTGTCCGCAACTAATCTAATAAATTAGAAGCACACATTTTTTACACATAATATCTTATTTCATCATATGCACTTTGGCACATACAAGAAGATATACGTCAGTATTTAAAAAAAAATCTAGATAAGAGAAATATTAATGTTCTTTCATATTTTTGTCGATTATCATAATGGCTCAAAATGTACACGATCGTCATTGTCGTATATATTGAATGTAAATTTTATCAGACAAACTGGACCTTATACCAAGGCAAATACTGATTACGTGATATAAACGATACGTCAGTGCCAATTTCAACGATAAGTACGTTGAGTGAAAGAAGAGCTCTTATTCATGTTTTTGTGACTAAGCTCACATGTAACACTTTCTTAGAGTACTCTGATAAAATCATTTGTACATTCGATGTTCTCACACGAGAGAGACAGAGAGAAAGAGATTACTTGTATGAATATATTTTACCTCTATAATCAGCAACAATTAACTTAAAATGTTCATGGATAGCTTCGACATGAGAGATAATCATCACATAGAAAAGACCGCGAAAATATAGATTAACTATCTTAATTGTCAAATTCGCTCAAGCACACAATGCATCTTAAGTATCACTTATATGATATTACGAATTTTTAAAATTAATTTTTTATTTTGTTTCATGTCATATACGAGTATAACCATAAATAATGCCAATTGTATACCTTAATAATATCAAGAGCGAAGACTCAAATAAAATCTTTTATGCAAAACTTCAAAATTTAGGAAATAAAAAGTTATATCAAATTCAAAATCTATATATGTATAAATTGCAGCAATCTAATTAAATCAAAATGTAATATATTATCAAAAAAACCTATTTAAATTTTCTTGCTTAATACAATTATAATTAGTTAAAATATTTTTATTTTATTTCTAAATTAAAATTCAAATAATCTTTTAATCGGAAAAATGAATTATACGCATCTTCACGTTGTCTTTCTTAAACATAAAACTCTCTTAAATAGATAAAATACTTCAATGTTGTGTAATTTCACCATTTTTGCGATTTCAAACGCCCAACAATTAAAAATACTAACATTAACATAGAAAGCTTTAATGATAAAACATTTTACGAGTTCCGATTATTATCTAAAATCATATTCAAGGTTGACCTTGTGATGTCTTATTAACTTACTACATATCTTTTATCAATAATAAATATAAATCATATTTGATTGAAATCAAATTATACGATGAAGGCAGTGTGATATAAAGTTTAATTTAATTCAAATTTTTTGTTATTTCATAAATTATCGATTTATGATCGAGTATATAATTGCAGATTGTTCAATATTCCGTGGCGTAAAAAAAGCAAATGTACTCTGACATAAAAATTTTTCTGCGAAATAATATGACTAATAATCTTTCCTTTCGAAGAAAGTATATCTTCGATAGATAAAATCTGTCCTTGCGATAACGATATGAATATTTATAATATTCTATAAATTCAAGCGGCTATAAAAGCCGCTTGAATTCCACCAGTCACATTTAAACGAATCGGAGAGGTGTTAATAAGACGAACGATACGATTTCTTAGTCCGGAGTCAAGTAAAGGAAAGGCGATGAAGGGTAAGTTAAAAATATTAAAAATCTTTTTATAATAAATCATTAAAATAAAATGATTAAATGGCATATTGACACGCTATGTGTCGGAAATTTTTAACAATCCAATTTTATTATACAAATATTTGATGCATTCGTTCGATTGTAATAAAAGTCGGTCAAATCACGATTCGTCCGTATCCACAATTGATACTTTGACAATGTGATTTTTGTTCGGTATAGGAATATACGTCGCCATCACCTTCCTGGCAGTTTCGGCCGCGAGCGTCGTGAACTCCGATCAGGATTTTTCGGAAGAAGTCTTCTGGGATCGTAGGGATGACGTCCCTACAGTATGCCCATTGCCTGACCCAAATTGGAGGAACACCACAACCAATATCCCGCACGAAAATAATTGCGTGATGTTTTATAAGTGTAATGTGGGACGACGTTTCGCGCAAATATGCCCCTTCATGATCGAAGGAGATCTAGTGACAAGATTGCATTACAATAGACGCCTGCAGGTTTGTGATTGGCCATGGCAGGCCGGTTGCGCAAGTTGCCCAATACAGTATCCAAATGGAACATTTCCACCGCCGGAAAGAATAAATAATCCATCGAACGATTGCCAGTACCTGGAGTGCGCAAATGGACACGCATCCGGACCATTTAATTGTCCACCTGGTACATGCTTCAGTCGCACATGTCAGGAATGTGTTAGGGACAGAACTGATGGAAACTGCAATGTTGTTCAACCACAACCATGCATAGAAGGCGATCGAAGATTGCATGATTGTTACTGCAATTTTTATGAAGAATGTACAAGAATTAACGGAGAATTTCATTGGATCCAACATGAGTGTTTCGGTGGTATACATTTTAGCGTCACAGAAAAAAGATGCATGCTACCGAATGAAGCTAAGTGTCCACACATAAAACATCTATTGTAAGGCAGAAAAAAATTGTTGTAGTTATCACAACCATAATTTATAGTCATTTTCGGTGCCAGCTATATATTATTCATATTGAACTACAAATATAATTATTGTCAGCACTACAGCAGTATAAAATTGAAGCACATCTAATCATAATTATTTTATCGTGAAATAGTTACAAATACCACTTTTCTCTCAGTGTATCATAAAAACCTGACTATTCAATCTTTATTCTGAAGAATATGTGGTGTCACAAGTGCAGTTACAGATTACATATACAAGTATAAAAAAAAGAATCTTTCTTCAAAGTTTTTTCTTTGATAAGTATAAAGATATTAAGTATAAAGACTTCTCCCTCGCTTTCTCTCTTTAAAAATATACAAATACCCAAATCATAAGAGTCGTGAATTTTTTTACATTTGTGCATCGATTTCAGAAAATACTAAAGTAGTGATGAATATGAAGAAGAAATTACTTTACAAATACTAAAATTGTTATTAATATTATTATTATATTTGTTTGAGTAGCTAGTTTCCTAAGATATTTTAATAAATCTGATAAAATATATGATTATTTCTTTGCAACTTCCCTGTCAGTGTAATCCTTCTGTAAATACATACACACATACACATATACTCACATCGCTGTTTTGTCATTTCCAATTTAGATAAAAAAAACTTCTGATAAGAATAATCTTATTTGGTAATCTGCGGTACAAAATAAATCAAAAGATATCAATTATCACTTGCATATTCGCAACTGTAATACCAGCAAATACAGATACTGAGCGAAACATCATCGGTGCGAATTGTAAAAATATAATTCAAAATTATATTAATAAAAATTTCTTTCCACACAATCTCTAATCACGAATCTTGTCATTCAGTCTCCAAATGCACACTACTAAAAATAAACAAAATTTCAATGTGTGCTAATTTAAGTATTTGCGTAAAATCATGAAAGACAGAATAAAAGAGACTTATAAAAAAGCAGAATACTGGCAGCATTTCGATTCCGTTTCGGTGACACAGTGACACGGAGCCTATCAGCCGAAACCCCTCCATTCGGCGGTCGTTCCTGATAAATAGAACGGTACCGGGAACAGTGTCGCGAGTCCCGACAATGGACCGCCGGAAGACCGGGGCAGCTTTAATTTCCCCCCGTAGTTCCTGGCAATTACCGCGCGGCGCGACCTGATAGCCATCTCTATCTCCGACCACAATGCCGTCAGTTCCGACGCACCCCGTTCCTTGCCACCTTGCCAGCGATTTACTTCCCTCCTCACCCACGGAACGTCGTCGACCTTCGACGATTTTTCTTGTCCCGGCGTGATACACGAGCTGTCTGATGTCCCTACAACCGATTGGACGAACTCACAAATTATTGATGAAAAGATCGAGAATTTACAGATACATATCCTAAAAATATCTTCTAGAATCAAGAAAGAATCTCGTAGGAAATTACAT